GCATATTTACGTGTCCGAATCCTTGAATGAATATCCCATTGTGATGAGGGTGGAGAGAAGAGGGGGAGGGGGAGGAGTTAAGATGTATTGTGCTCTACCATGATCGAGCAGTTCATAAGCGTCTGGAGTGCTGTGGTAAGCGATGCTACATCCGGTCTCTTTTTAAACAAGAGGTTTTCAGGGCTGCTCAGCGCACGAAATCACCGAATCACCTTTTCACTGACGAAAGCGATAATAACGCCTTTCTCGAGAAGGACAGGATAGTCCTAATTAACGTTTATGGGTTTCATTTAGAAAGAGAACGGCGAACGGAGAAGCCTTGTTCCGGACGCTTGGGGGTCAGCCAACCTTGTCACCCGCCTTGCGTGAGTAACTTTCAAGTAAAGGTACAATGCCACCGCATATTCCCACGTGGCTTTCGGGACGTCTGGGTTTCAGACATGAAAGCGGGACAGTGCACAACGGCGGCGAGGCATGTGAATTTGCGAGGCGATGCTCGGTCGGGACCAACAATAGCCGTACACCTGACAGTCGGGATCTGACATATGCATATAAACACACACGCCGCATACATATGCATAGACACTGCTCTGTATATGGATAAACTATCGGGTATGTACTCGGCGTCTTCCCCGAGCGCTCCACATTAGCTATTCCCAAGCGAGCCACCTGCCACTCACGCTGAAAGCATAACCACAGTCTTTATCCCTTCGAGAGCACAACCAAACGCACAGCCCGTCGTCCTCGCAAAAGAACGCACGCTATGTACATCTCACAGAGCGTTCCCTAATCGAGGACACCACAATCGCAAGTGGCACCGGCATGAACCCACTACACGGTATGGTAAGGCGGCGCAGCCAGGCTTAGATGCCCGATCATTTTGAATAGTGGAGTTTTGTCAGTTTACAGTCTGGTGTGTTTATCTGGAGAGGCTGTACCCTCCCTATATCTTGGATTCTCCGATGAGGGCTCTGCTTCGTTCTCTCCATCACATTTAGTAGTGAGGTGTTACTGCTTCCTCTAGGGTTTGTTTTTAGGTCCTTAATGTTTAGTGAATTGTGGTGTTTCTGGAGTTACGTTAGCGGTGCATAGATCAATACAGTGACTCGATGAGTCAGTGTTTAACCTTTTTTTTGTTGGAGCGAATCATGGAGTGGCTCTGTAGCAACGTGTAAACCAACACCTGCAACCCTTCTGGTTATGCTGAATTTCTCACAACGCACGCCAGACTTGCCCGTTGCTATTTATATAATCTTTTATCGAATTTTTAAGCGGTCAAAGAAACTGATTGCACTTGGGCGCCTTTTCCAATTCTGTAAAAGCCCGCGAAGGGTTTATTTTTCAGTCTGTCATTTTCGCGAACCCCCGAGTGCGCTCGCAATTGATAGTTGTAAAATCCCAAATAGAATGGGAAGGCATTGTTCATATTTGCTCCTTTGTTGGATTCGAACCCGGCGCAACAGGCGTATTCCGAGGACCCGCTGTTGCTGAGCGATGTATCGAGAACTTGGGCGCCCTCTCAGCCTCGCTGCGGCCAACCCGGTGGTTCCGAAAGGCGGTCACTTAATATAGGCTTTGGAGATTAGATATTTGTGTATACAACTTTTTGAAAAAGACGGGGACGAGAGAGAGAGAAGAGTAAAAGAGACGGTGTTAGGGAGAGAGACTTGACGAGTATTCACGTCCGAAACGAACAATAGGTTCGGAGAATAGTGCTGTTTAATGTCGGTTTTATGGGAGGATATAGTGGGAAAAAGAGAACCTGTTCAAGAATAAAAACGAATGAGCATGCCGAAGCAGGATGAGCAGAGAGTTGCTGAAAGGAGTAGAAGATGTGCTTTTGCATTGAAGGAACGTGTGATTGACTTTGCTGATGGAGACGATGGAGGTGAATTATACATTTGAGAGATTTAAGTAAACAAACGAGTGACTAATGAATGCGGTATATTACACACATCTGACGAGGAGACACGAACAAACGTCATGAGGCACACGTTGGAAAGGAATGGAGAGAAAGAGAAACGGTGTGTAAGCGTAAGTCTTTTAATGAAAGGGATTATATAAATTGTCAGAGCGGGTTCCTCTCGAGTCCGAACCGAGATCTTGGGACGTGTGAACCGAACGTGACAAACGAGAGGAATTGTACAACATCTGATTGTGTAATAACAGATAATAAAACTCTGTCATTCCTAAAGACCACTGTGCAAAACGACCGTAAGAGAGAAAATCAATTAAATCCTTTTTTCCCAGGATGCTTTATGATCAGCGACCGAAATGAAAAATCTTCCACGAAGGAAGGACTGAAAAAAAAAAGAGAAAAAAAAAGAAAAAAAAAAAGAAAATCAGCATGCGATAGCGGCTCTCCCCTTCTGAAGTGCGGATTGGCATCGACGTGCTGAACCTTCTAAGTATCTTAATTGAGTTTAAGCACCTGTTGATGATGCTGTAAGTTTTGAATAAAAAGAAAGAAGCGAAGAAGAAAAAAATAAATATTGTCACCCGACCGATTTGGCTTTCCTCATAAATAGTGATAGGACCAATTGCTCCCCATTGAAAAGTAACCTAAGCTGATCCTTTATCCCAATGAGTATGCAAGAGCTGACGGAAAAATGTCTGTTGCACTTATTTCATTGAATCTGTGGAGGAGGAAAGGTCAAAAAAGGACCCATACATTGCTGAATATGAGAAACAGATCAGCTTTGCGCACTCTCTTGGCCTTGGACACCGAAGCGAATTTAGACGAAAAGCAACACAAGAGCATAACGGGCACGACGCATTCAGAAAAGAGGTGAAAAACGTAAAAATAAAGGGCCGAAGTAGAAAGCTCGGAAGATTATGAGCTTTATGCAATTTTCAAGCTGCACGTGGCAGCGAAAACCCTGCAATTATTTTGACATTTCCCTTTCGTTGTGTGAATATGATCGTGATATAACTCACACATTCGCGTCTTCGCTGGACATTTCAGGGTGTTCATATTCTAGAGTGATCGATGGAGAGATCAAGAAACGAGTTAGTTTTGAATAATTTGCCTTCGTCTCTCAATAAGTTGTCCATAGGTTTATCTGCACCATCGCTCTCGTCATAGGGATAAAACTAAAACATCAGTTTTCATTCTCGATTCGACCGTTCATAACCATAGCATGGATTATCTCTACCAGCAGTCAATGTTTCTCCGAGTTCTAGCTATGATCCGAGCGTGAAATCAACTACTGGCACTCAGATGCTTGGCGTCTCACTGTAATTCTCTTTCTCTTTCTCCTACACGCAACCTTCATACCACTTACTATTCTCCCATACGTTAATATTTTGTCCTCATCTAGTGTCGGTATCTCACTCTATTTTAGTCTTACTATCTTTCCTATTATTTTCGCCGACCTCCTTCTGGCCACACTCCATTCCTCCTCTCTCACCCGCCCTCAGTTATAGTCATAAATCATCTATCTCTCTCTAAGTCTGTCAATCAAACTTTACCCAGGTTCTGAGTCGGTTTTAAAACGGTATAACTCTGAAACTTTTGACTGGACCATTAATTTATCATTAAACTGTCTTCCCCGCACATATATGCGCTCGAGAACTTATAAGAGAAAGTGCTATCGTATACATGCACGTGTGTCCACACGGAGCCAAATAAGGTACAACTACCGGGGTATGCATTCCAATGTCCCCGAGCCAGTATATTTCTGCCGGCAAATACTTTTCGGTTGAGCAAATGATGATTTGAAGATTCTTCGTCGTCTTCATCAGTCGAAGGAGATTACTCTAGCTGAGGCAACGGGATAGCCAAGAACCCGACAGCAGGCGAAGGGATAAAGTGCAGAACTCGAGATGCGAACGGAGAGAGTTAAAAGAGGAAGATGTATGATAGAGAGTAACTTAACATGTGACTCCGAGAAGGAGACCGTCTCTCTCCGCGATCCATATGGATATCTAAAACCGATTAATGATAAACAGAATTACTGCGTACGCAAAGCCAAAATTTCGATATCCAATTTATTATCCCTACTTATCAACCAAACGAGAATAAATTGCTATATAGGAGTTCTCCCCATAGCCACTAAATAAAATTGAGTCACACACAGAGACGCATGTATTTTGAGACATAATTCTTTCCCTTATAACTCTTTCACCTTTTTGTCCATTTCATTTCAAAATAAAACCACCCTCGTCATTCACCCCATTTTTAGTACACAAGTAGTGGGTTTTTGGCTCACGGAAAGGAGTATGGGTTGCACATATGTATTATATATATATATATATATATATATATATATATATATATATATATATATATAATTATATTAATATTTCAGAGAGGGAAAGAATGCAAAAATAAAAATGTTTTTCTGAAACCGCTTTCTCCAAATGTATTATGTAAAGAACAGACGGTACTTTATAGTAATCTTAATAATATGGTCTTAAAATATTGGAAAGAGGGAGAGATCTTTGTACCACCCATGTAATAAAGAAATATATCATTCTTCACTTAAAAATCAAAGCTCTCTTTTCTACTGTTAGAAATTTTAAAGGGAAAGCCGAAATAATGCCGAGAAAAAGACTGGAGAATTTAGTAGCGAAAAGACCCATGGTTTCACCCAACACGCAAGGCCACAATATTCTCTTGCCACAGCGAACTCATATCATTCACTGACTCGTTTTAAAACAAAGTCCCATTAGATTCAGACTCATTTCGCAGCAGTGACGTGAAGTGATTTCAACTGGATGTGTAAAGCCCGAGAGTTCAGAGTTGGCGCCGCTCACCGCCCGTGTGTGCGCAGTCTCATGGCAGCGGCGTGCGTCGTTCGTTGCCCCGCGTCTCCACTTGCCAGATTCCCCCGATCCTCAATCTATTTTCTTTTTTTCTCGTCTTTATTGAATTGCGGATGTCTCTCTAAGGTCGGGTAAAGTATAATTGTGAAAGGAGGAGGCGCGAAGAATGGTCGTTTGTGATATACAGACGGGTCGGTCCGAGTGTGTTAAATGACTTGTGTTATTCCTTCCAGGCTTCAGCTGCGACTGTGGTAGTGAAAGCTGGCAAGGAGAGGGACCAGAGAGCGTGAAGTACCGAACAAGTGCACTCGCTGTACATCGCTAGGGATTTCTCCAACCTCCAGCATCATGAGTCGGTG